CCCCCCCCCCCTCTCTCTCTCTCTCTCTCTCTCCTGACTCCCTCCTTCCTCGTCTGTCGCATTTCAGTGAGAGTGCTAGTGGAGAGAGACCCCGGGGGTCGAAGGTTCTGCCCTGCCAGCTGCGACCTCAACCCCTCACGGCTTCCGAAATATCCGATGACCGTCGTCTTTGACACATCAGCGGACAACCCCCGAGCGGTTTTGGGCCAAAAGAGAAGGTACACTCAAGTAGCTTTTGAAGAAGATCGCTGAGGGGGAAAATAGCGAGGCACAAAGCGGTAATGGGTTAGAGGTGGCTGGTTGTCATGTTCGAGGGAAACCGTTTAGAACATTGCCTCGGATACAATGGAACATTTTTTTAACATCAGCGCAACGGATACATTTTAACATTTTCGCGCCGTCAAGTTTCTTTAACGTTCATAGCTCGGCGTCTGAATAAAGGAATTATGTGGAAAACGGCAATATTTATCGGGTTTTATGTGCTCCTGCCTTGCTTTGTGCACAAATTATGCGTTATGAACGGGTTCTTTATGCTTTTTGACTGAACGTTTTTTATTTAGCTGCCTCATAGTAAGCAGAACAGATTTCGCATTACCTGTACAATTAAATATAGACTTACCCCGTGCAGTCTGACGCCAGTTTAGAAGCTTGGCTTTTGTTGACAGATAATTATGGAGTCAGAGGCTGCCAGCTCATCGCGAGCTGTTGGTCACAAGTGTTATTAATGTGGCCGGTTTGAAGTCGCCCAGGGAGGGTGCGAAAAGTTCAAGTTTATGGCAAAAGGTTAGCCCGCCAGAGACGGTGTGAGGCGGTGCAGCTGAACAAAATAAATGAATGCAGGTAACAATGAGGGAGATTTGTTCTTTAAACAATCTTGAGTATGTGTTTAATTACCTGTGGAACGTATTAACACGATTTAAGATCGATAAATAGACATTCATTTTTTTAAACAATGAATTGAGCTTTTCTCTTTGTTATAGGGAGAAGGCTGTAAAGCATTGTGGGAAAGGTGCATTTGACAGTTGGAAATCGTCTCAGGTTACTTGTGTAACCATGGTTCTCGCCATAATAAATAGAGATAGCTCTTACTTTTTCCTTGGAAATGCACGCTTCAAACAAAACAGTCAATGAAGACGAAGAAGAGAATGATGTGTGCTCCCGGCGCCTATTTATACTATAGTCGCACCGGTAGTGACGTCATGGCTGTCGCCGGCCAACGAGTTGGTGTTTTTTCAATGTATGCTTCAGACACGGGTCACGACGAGGCGTTCCCCATAGCGACCCCTAGAGGACGCAGTTCGAAGTTCCCATGAAAGGGAAACATGTTGAGAGAACAAACAGGAAGCAGAGTATAGGTTTTCAGCCTCAGAAAACATTATTAAGAATAAGTTATGTATGGGATAATGTACAATTATATGGTCATTATCACAAAATATACTCTTGACAGGGTGGTTAGGACCCCAACGCGAAGCACAACACAAAGATTTATTAATATAAAATATTAGTAAATCCGTGTTACTACTTCTGTGGACTAGTTAGCTGTTATATTTAGCTGCAATGTAATATATTATGCTGTATTTTTAGTTGTCTGCTATTCACCTCTTTTGTTCTTTCAGATTCTATGTTCTTCCGAGCATTTTTTTTTTTGGTAACTCCTAAACTTCTAGCCATCTATGAAAGGGTTTATGCTAATAAAATTAATACTGAAGTAAAAATCTTGCTTGCGTTGGTATGAAAATAACTTAATCCTACTTTAATACTAAATTAAAAATACCAAAAAATAAGATTTACATATAAACTGATATAATACTTTTCAAAGGGACATGATGATGGGGAAAAAAATATGCAAGGAAAAACTATATTTGAGTGTTTTTGCACTCGCTTACAAAACTTTTGTTTTCTCACAAAAGTATTGCATTCCCTGAGAAATTTTACATTCAGTTAAAAAGGAAATTAAATATATTTTCCTCCCAGCTCATTTATTTCAATCACCAAAGTTTCTCAAGGCAATGCAAAATTGTGTGAAATAATGCAAAAATTTGTGAACAAATGCAAATGGGTTTTGGGTGAGGATGCAAACATTTTGTGAGCGAACATAAAATAATTCAAATACAATTTTTCTTCTTATAGTATATTTTTTTCATCACCATGTTCCTTTAAGGGCTTTGTACAAATGTACTTTTGAACTCTGACTTGGACTGTTTTTTTTAATTTTATTTATTTCTTTTAGTAATATTATTAGCAGATATGAGAGAATTTCTACCAAAAAATGATCTTGTGATCAGATTACTGAATATATTTTTGATACTGTTTCAGTACCATCGCGTTTAACTGTATTTGGATTTGCATCATTAACGTTTTGCATCTTGGCGTCTCTGTATGTGGTGACTCAGATCCAAGCCTTGGGACTAAAGGATGCTTGCTCACCGGATCTGCACTGCACCACTGTGACCTGCTCATGTCCCATCCAGAGGTGCCATGGCTCGCAGAATATCCTCCCAGGGGAAGGTCACTATCTCCGTGGATGAGTACAGCTCCAACCCAACCCAGGCCTTCACCCACTACAACATTAACCAAAGCCGCTTCCAGCCCCCTCACGTCCACATGTGAGTGTCTGTGTACAGTGTTCCTGTAACTGAAACATTGATTTAATTGATTGATTGAGGACAGAACAGAATGCTGACAGAGAGGGCATCTGGCATCTTTTGTCTCATCTCGCCCGACAGGTGATCCGGAGGCTCCTGCGGCTTCACTTCTGTTGTAATGAATTATATTGACCTTTTTAACTTGATATTGTTGCAATGTTTGCATATTAAGCATTTTAATGAGTTTTTTTGACGGCATAACAGGGTTTAATTAATAATGCTCTCATGTCTGAGATAATGGCTCTGTGTAGATCTAGTCCAGTTTCAAACTGGCTATTTATTATTTCTTTGTTCTTTTTTATTTTCAGACAGAATGCAAAAACATTTTAGGTCATGTATACTTCTGATCAATAGTTTGGAATAATTCAGATTTTTTTATATATCTTTATGTTATGCTCTCTAAAGCTGCATTTATTTAATCAGATATATAGTAAATATTGTGAAATATTATTACAGTTTAAAAGAACTGTTTTCGATTGCAATATATTTTAAAATGTAATTTATTCCTGTGATGACAAAGCTGAGTTTTACTCCAGTCCTCAGTGTCACATAATCCTTCAGTATCATTCTGATATGCTTAATGATTGTAATTATTCCAAACTTTTGACCAGTAGTGTGTGTATATAATCAATACACCTACATCTTTTTCAGCATTAAAGCATTTGTGCCCACAATTTTTTGTTATTGTAATAGAGATGTTAGGGCTAAAACAGTGTCTCATGACGTGCCTCATGTTCTTGTACTTATTAACCAGAGGGAGGTCAAAGGTTAGTTGAGTTGATTAGCTCTTTAACAATAGCTCATTGATCCCAGGGTCAGAGCTCACCTCTAAAGAAACCTGACTATTGACTGATGCTGATGATGGCATAATGAGGCCTGCTGCAGATACTAAAGAACGGACCAACCTGATTAGCCGAGCCTTTACTGCTTTAATGGTACCATGCAATTAAGGTACATCAGCACAAGCAAAGGGGATCGACCAGGATGCATGTGCCATTGAATTGCTTTTAGCTGAAGTGTGGAAGAAACAGCTATTTGTCATTAAACTGTGTTATGTATCCCAATGCAATATCCTTTGGACAACAAATGCAAATGCAGAGCAATTTATTAGTTTTATCAGCGCAATAAATGGCAATAATGCTGGAAAAACAGGTATACTATGACATGATTCAAATAGAAAGCTCAATTCACACAAATTTTGTTGTACACCTGTATGAATTTCTTTCTTTTGCAGAACACAAAATATATTTTTTATCCAAACAATGAGAGTCAGTGGTGTGCAAAGTTATTTTGTGCCCCATTGACTTTCATTGTATAGACAAAAGCAGTTCTTCAAAATATCTTTTTTTTTGTAAGGATGTAGAATTTTCCTGGGTATCTATAAAGGAATAGTTTACCCAAAAATGAAAATTAGCTGAAAATGTACCCTCAGGCCATCTAAGATGTAGAGTTTGTTACTTCATCATAACAGATTTGGAGAAATTTATCATTACATCATTTACTCACCAATGGATCCTCTGCAGTGAATGGGTGCCGTCAGAATGAGAGTCCAAACGGCTGATAAAAACATTACAATAATCCACAAGTAATCCACATGACTCCAGTCCATCAAATAAGTCCTCTATCTATAATTTGGTTTCTCCAGTGAAAGTCATGTGACCTGAATCAGGAAAGAAATATGCACAGATTAAGAACCGATCAAGCAAAAACAGTCCAAAACAGTTCTATACAAATATGACGGTGGTCATATTTGGAAAAGTGATATTATGGATTATGGATTTTAGACAGAAGTAATGGTTTTGTTTCTTACAAACATGCAGATTTTCGTGTTGTGGATTATTGTGATGTTTTTATCAGCTGTTTGGACTCTCATTCTGACGGCACCCATTCACTGCAGAGGATCCGTTGGTGTGCATGTGATGTAATGCTGAATTTCTCCAATTCTGTTCTGTTCTGAAGAAACAAACTAATCTGCATCGTGGATGGCTTGAGGATAAGTACAATTCAGCAAAATTTCTTTTTTTAGGGGGAGGGGGATGATAACCTATTCCTTTAGCCTTTCCCTAATTCATTAATAATCTTCACATATAAAAAATAAATATTCCCTCAGAATCAAACACGCTCTTTATTTCCACAGGGTAGAGCCACTTCCCTATGATGCGCCGAAGCCCGTGGGTCATACACGTTTTGTCTGCGTCTCAGACACACACTCGAGGACAGATGGAATCCAGATGCCTTTCGGCGATGTGTTGCTTCACACAGGTGACTTCACTGAGCTCGGCCTACCATCTGAAGTGAAGAAGTTTAATGACTGGTTAGGTAAGTGTGCAAAACCAGTCCTGTTACCTTTGCTGACAAGCACTTCCCCTGCTGTCACAACACAAACTCCCAAAAAAAGTCACTTCTACCAGAAATGTCAGAATGCTTTTTTTTTTTAAAATGCATTTATAAAACTTTAAGCCTGTGCTCTTTTAGGTTTTGCATCAACTGCAACGATGTTTTCCAGTTCCAAATCTGGTGACCTATTTTAAGACTGATGAATATCAATAGCGTCAGTTTTTACATTGAAATTACAAAATATACAACATTGTTACATCATTTTTACTTAATTTTATAAGCTGCAATGTGCACAGCATTTCGAGCAAGTAGGAAGGCCTTTGTTATGGCTGGGGGTGAAGGAGGTCAAATTGGAAATTGGAAAATGCCCAGCTGTTGGCTTTAATGGGTGCCTTTCAGTCTGGTCTCATTGGCCTCTGCAGCGATTCACTTTGATGAAATCAAGGTTCTTTAGGTTTACAGAGGTCAAATAGATTGTTTACCTGTTGAAATCAAAGTCATGCTTCTGCCTATGATTGGCAGCCACAGTGAGCTGTAAATTATCTCTGGTCTGTCAAAGCCATTTGAAATGTTCTTTATTTCATTTTATTTCAGATACTAGGTCACTAAAGAATGTTTTCTATGTCACTTCTTAACATCTGAATAGTCATATGGCTGTAGAGTGCACGATACTGTGAAATATTGTTTTCCATTTGCTTCCAAAATCAGTTATTCTCATTATCTGTCTCCTCTTACAGGCAGTCTTCCCTATGAGTTCAAAGTTGTCATCGCTGGAAATCACGAACTTACCTTCGATAAAGACTTTATGGCGGAACTCATAAAGCAGGATTACTACCGTTTCCCCTCAGTGACCAAGCTGAAGACTGAGGACTTTGACGATGTTCAGTCCGTCCTTACAAACTGTGTGTACTTACAGGACTCTGAGGTCACCATTAAAGGATTCAGGATATACGGGACTCCATGGTAAGCATTTCTAAATCATTGCTGTCATCACATTGTTTGTTACTTCTTGCTTGTTACATCTGTCATGCAGAATATTAAATGGGTTATAAAAGATTTGAATCAGATATCCTCAGCAAAGGCATAACCAGGCTTAGTTTATGTAAATTGAATTACGAAAAGCATGGTCTGGATGCACTTTTCACAATCCAGTAAATTCCGGATGGATACAGTTTTGAATCTTGTCCTACATGTTTTTTTCTTGTTGAATATTCTGTTTCACTCTTAAAAAATGGAAGTAAAATGGGTTTCAAATGTCATTTCATGTTGACTTTGGATCTTGAACTGTGCCATCTACAGCCCTACATCATGGGACTGGTAATTTTTGATTACATACATACATACATATATATATATAATAAATTATTAATTGAGACATTTAATTTAAATTATTTTAGAAATATTAAAAAAATCACTTATTAAACTTGACTTTTTACATTGGTAGTTAGGGGCACAAATAGGCTACATATGTTACTAGGTGGTCCCTGAATAATCTGATTTGATGAGACATGGTACTTGTTCTGAAAAGATTAGGAACCACTTCTCTAAAATATTTAGAAAATCCACCAAGATCCTTTTTAGTTAACCACATTTCCAAGAAGACATTGTTTGGTGGTGTTTTCATATTTGCTTTCATTTGTTTAGGTTAATATAGAATCAGTAGCTGCAGTACGTTTTGATAAAGCTCCATAAATCACAATCAGTGCTCTATATATACAAACCATATGCAACATATGTCAAGTTCGTTAGTTAAGTAACAGATGGTTGATTGACCTACATTAAGTTTGTATTTGATTTACTGGAACTGAATAAGGTTTACGTCTCTTGTATGATTTCTCATGGCTGTCTTATACCTTGAGTTAAACTGATTATCTTCAGCCATGGACAGAAAGACCTTTGTAGACCTGGGTTATGTTAGACACTGTTGTACTCTCTGCTCCGCAGGACACGAGATGTGTTCTCACTCGCTACAGATAGTGTTACATACGCACATTCACTCTCTCTCCTTCATTCCATCTCTCTTTCGCTGTTACTCTTTACACACACACACAGCCGTCATCACACATTGGCATCTTTCATGCGAAGACCTCATTGTCTGATAAGCAGACCATTATCTCAGTTACTTCAGCCATGGACAGAAAGACCTTTGTAGACCTGGGTTATGTTAGACACTGTTGTACTCTCTGCTCCGCAGGACACGAGATGTGTTCTCACTCGCTACAGATAGTGTTACATACGCACATTCACTCTCTCCTTCATTCCATCTCTCTTTCGCTGTTACTCTTTACACACACACACAGCCGTCATCACACATTGGCATCTTTATGCGAAGACCTCATTGTCTGATAAGCAGACCATTATCTCAGTTAACCCCTCACCCACTGGGCTGCCCCACACTACCATGGGACGCCAACAGAGCTGTGTTAGATTTCAGGTGTGAATAGATGCCTAGCAGTGTTTGCCACTAAGAGCATTGTGGCAGTGTTACACAATAATCGACAGCTACTAGAAGCAGTTTATCACCAGTAGACGACACTGAAGAGTCAGTTGAAAGTTGATGAGAGCTGCTTAATGTGCTTAATTTTTTATAATCTTTTCACCCTCTTTTTTTCAGTTAAAATGTGTATAAATTTGAGGTTTTTGTCATCTAAGCATATTTCACATATGATTCACATATGCACATATTTTTTTCCTACCCGCATTCTAAAGGCCCTTGGAACACTGAGTCCGAAATTTTCGCACATTAAAAAATAAATACGATCTCACATTGTGTCAGTCACGTTTACACACTGCCTCCGAAACTTTCGTCAGTCATAAAAAAATTATTTTCTGCATTTTTTCGCATCCGTAGCAAGCATTATGAGAGGTGTTTTGACAATTCAGAGCCACCGTACAAGCGAATGCCAAAATCCAAAATGGCGTCTGACAAGTTGATCCACTTCTTTTCGCTGCACAAATAAGTCCTTGCACACTGAGTTCACGGAAATTGGGTGGTCTTCTTTTTAATATGTGGCTCCAGTATCACTAGCAAAGCATCAAACTGAGCCACTGACATCCTGAAGTAAACTTCGAATCGCCCGGGATAATTCCACAGCTCCTTGATAAGGAGGTGGCACTCTTCTTGGATTGGATGATGGATCCAATATTTCCTTTTTCTTTTTCTCTTTTTAAGAAGAGAGAGGACAACAAAATCATTATCACTGCTTGAAGACTCCATTTTGTATTGTTTCGTGAATTTTTTCGCAACGGATTAATTAATACGCATCGGACTCGGTGTGCAAGGCAATATTTCGACAAATACGAAAAAACGCATACGAAATTTTCGGACTTCAGTGTGCAAAGACCTTAATAATGCTAATGAATCCAGGTTATTTAAAATAAATATAAAAAAATTCTGAATTATTTATTATTAGTCATTTTTAATATTTCGTTATATAAAATATAGCTATGACTTTTTTATTAACTATTATTTCTAATTCTGTTTCTAGTACTACTACTACTACTAATAAAATTATTGTTAACTTTAATTTGTAATGGTAATAATATAAATAAATCTCATTTGTAAATCTCATAAATGTCAAACAGGCTGCATTTTTCTAATTTATATTTTATTTGTATTTTATTATATGAATATATGTAATATTTATTTTGTTATATTATACAATATAGTTAGTGCTTTGTAGAGTAATTTAGGTATTCTGTTTGTAAGAATAATAAATAATATATATTAATATATTTATTTTAATTTAAATGTATGTATATTGTTCTTTTTTATTTGCTTAAATTACTTGTTTCTAAAGCAACTTTTGTGTTTTGTGTGTCATACATTTTATTGGAATTTTGGGATAATTTTTAATGCTAACTTATTGATAATTTTGATTTCTGTGACAAATGTTACACAAAAATACTCACTATTTGAACCACCACATTGTGATTTATTTAGCTTGTAGAGGATAAATACTATATATAAATACTATACACAGTACTACCTAGTCTGTCTAAAATATCTTAAGGTCTTCAAGCCAGCCAGAATTAGAATGCTAATTTTGGTAAGAAGTGGGAAAACCAGACATCTGCGATGGGTGGTCTTGGTGGGGGTGCTCCTTGGTCATAGTTCTCCCAGCCTCTCCTGCAGGAAGTGCTTTTTGTTCCAACACATCCTGGTGCTTTGTTGAGAGCCAGGATCAAAACGTGAGGCCGACCCCGGTGTGCCCCTCCAAGTGCATGCTCGCAGTGGGCCGCTCTGACCTTCCTGACCCTGGGCCTCAGCTATCAAGGAGGTCATTTACACGGCTTCATTCTTCTTCCCTACAAAGTGCTTGGTCAGGCTTGACTCCCGTCTGGCCCAAGGTAGAAGACGAGTCTGTTTTATGTCCGTATATTTATCGGTATTCCCTTTCATGGCAGCACTCCCGTCAGTACATTGACCTTGACTTGATTACTCTCTACAAATATCCAATATACATTTGTATGCCTAACCAGAAGTTACCTGATATAATGCCGCGTTTGGTAATCCTGCTTACGATACTCTGATATGTGTCGCGTATATATATTCGAGCTTGCAGCTGTGATTGTGTAAGCTGGTTGTGCTAGATGTTGGTTTGACTTTTGAAAATCAAAGGCTCTTTAATCCTCTTAGGAAAGGCAGACAAGTCATGTGACCCGAGTTCATCTTGGGTGAGTTTGCAAGGCCAGGCTATAATAGATAGTGGGGGTGTGTCTCTCTTGCTGCCATAGAAACTATCACTGCTTCATCCTCTGCCTTATGATTATAATGTTCTTGTGAATGAATGATCAGGGATGATATAAAGTCGTTTGTGGTTTTTCAGGACACACAACAAAGCTGTTTATCAGCATTAGGAAGGATAAAAGATAGGAAGTGTTAGGCTTTCTCCCTGTGTGCGGACAGATCAGCGTGAAGCTGATAGAACTAATTACTTGATGATAGTAACTAACTTGTCATTTAAGGTGAGGACAGTTTGTCCCCACCACTTTATGCTTATGCTGATTGCCCTCACCAATTTATGAAATGGCTCAACTGTTTAAAAGTGTGAGGTCAGTATAGGATTTAATACTTATTCGGCAAATATGCATTAAATTGATCAAAAGTGACAGCAAACGACAACACAAAAGATCTCTATTTCAAATAAATGCTGTTCTTTTGAACTTTATATTCATCAAAGAAAAATGTTTTACAGTTTCCACAACAATATTAAACAGCACAACTGTTTTCAGTACTGATAGTAAGAAATGTTTCAATGCAGCATATTGGGTTTTCATTTCTAGAGGATTTCATTCTCACTGGCAAGGATGAGAGAAATATAAACATTTTGTGAAGTGGTAAATCATGTAATGCACTGATTTTAGCACACACGTGAGATTTGACAGGCGTGTTATAACATCTTGACAGCATAATGTGCTTTTACGGGCTGTACCTCAGTAGTGTTGATTCTTGAAGACCTGATAATGAATATTAATTGACTCATTTGAATTGCCTGAATTAAGGTGTTGACAAGTATCTATAACAGTCTGATGCTTCTCAGCTCCCCTCTGATTTCACATTCATCTATCCACAATGCGATGGCTTTCACATGTTCCCCGGGCATGGCCTTGTTGTTAGCATCACACTCTTCCAGTTGAGACATATGCTTATTGTTCCTTAGCTTGCCTATGTTGCCTTATGTCATTCATAGTTGACCTTCATGGAAGAAACGCAGAACTCACATACTGTGCGTAAATGTAATTACCCCGTCCATCCTCTCAGCTATCAACAGAAGCCTTCATAGAAGCAACAATTTTCTCTGGCTCCTGCCGACAAGCTACCTGCTCACGTCACTGATTGTAAGCTGACCCCTGGCTTGAAGGTGGCGTCATTTGTCAGTGGTAATTAACAGCTGACGTCCGCTGGGCCTGATGATGGCTGGCGGCGATTGCGGTACCAGGCAGGGAGGATTGAGAAATCG